CTTCCCACCCCGGTCCCCAACCATTGCCAACAATACAGCTCTGGCTCGAGGACGCCCTCGCGGCCACAAAGGAATTCAGGCCAAAGCTGATCCTCGCCACCTCCATGCACTACATAGGGGGCGCGTGGCTGATCCCCGAGCTCATAAAGCGCGAGCGCGAGGGCCGCCTCAAGCCGCGGCCGGACGCGGGCGCCGCCGGAGCGGCTGCCTCGGCACCGGGGACGGGCGGGGCACACCATGAGGGTGGGGATTGGGACCCGGCGGGCATCAAGCTTGTTGTGGGGCACACTGTGCTGTCTCACGTTACTGGGACGTACCTGCCCGCCACATGCGGTCTGGGGTCGACGCTGCCGTTTGCGTTCCTCAACAGGTGGGACTGATTGGGACTGATTGGGACTGATTGGGACTGATTGGGACTGATTGGGACTGATTGGGACTGATTGGGACTGATTGCACGCGCACGTGTGTGAGTGTGCGCGTGTATGCGTGTGTATGTGCGTGTGTGTGTGTGTGTGTGTGTTTGGGGGGGGGGTTACGAGGGGGGCTGGGGGCTTGCGGCGGCAGGCACTGCGTCTAGGCGGGGCTCTTGTGAGTGCCCTTTTTCAACAGCAGCCTCGCCTTGCACAGCCCTGGACGGCGGCGGCGGCCTGCTGCCATACTAAAAGGATTCCCCCCGCCGCCGCGCATGGCTGCGGCCCTCTCCTCCAGGGCAGCCGCGCCCACCCAAACCCCTGGCCTTCCCCCTCCGCAAGTGCCAATGCCCTTGGCACCATCCACCCCACCCTCCCTTTTTCACCGTCTCATCGCCGTCCCGACCCGCTTCCCACAAGCCCCAACGTCAACCGCAAGTCAAGATAGCCCACCCGGCCTCGCTTGCTCGCCCCTCTACCACGCCCCTGGCCGTTCCATCCCTTTTCGCATCCCAAAACCTGACGCTTGTGCCTGAAATCAAAAACACGCCGCCCCTCGCCAGGCTGATGTGGCGCGTCGGGCTGGGCATCGCCGACAAGAACCTCTACCGGCCGCTGCGGGCCGCAACCGTGGAGCGCTTCGGCCTCGACCCCCCGCCGCCCACGTGGCTCGAGAATGAGCAGGGCAAGCGGCCCCCGGTGGGCGCTTGCTCGCGGCGGCGGCACCGCGCGCGGCCGCCTTTCTCTCCGCGCAGAGACTCGCGGCAGAGCATAGGGCGCCCAATCAGGCTGCTGGGGGCGAGGCGGGAGGGGGCACGAATGTATCGACAGACGCTGCCACAGACAGGCCGCCGTCCAACCAGGCTTCCGTCCTGCCCTCGCCCTCGCCCGAGCAATAACTCTGACAAGCCGGTCTGCTAGTTGCCTGTTGCGTCGCCTTTTGAAATGATGTGTCGGCCGTGCATCGCTCACACCAAGCACCGCCCTGCTCGCCGCAGACGATCTACGTGTACTCATCCGCCCTCGTCCCGCGCCCCCGCGACTGGCCCGCCGCCGCCGTCGTCACCGGGCCGCTGCTGGGCCCCGACAGCCGCGCGTCGCCGCTTGGGCCGGCCGCCGCGGAGCAGGCGGAAGCCGCCGCGCAGCTGCCAGAGGGGCTGCGGGCCTACATCGCGGCGGCAAAGTGAGCGAGCGCGCCGTGGATCCGCACAGGACGGGCCTGCCTGTGACCTGCACCCGTCGCATGTTTCACGCGCCGCTGTTTGGCACATGCGCAGACGCCCGCCAAAGCGTCTCTGCCCCTTGGCTCATCCCATTAATGCCGTCCCGCCGGCGGCTCCGTGCTGAGAAAACACATGCAACGGCTGCGGTTGGCAGGCGTGCCGGCCGGCCCGTCGTATACGTCGGCCTGGGGTCCATGCTGGGGGCATACTTTGACAACCCTCCAGAAATTCTGAAGGTCTTGGCAGAGGGCGTCGCCCAAGCCCAGGCCGGCGCCGGCGCCGGCAAGGGCTTCGCGGCGGTCGTGCACACGGTCACAGGTGCGCGCGTGCGCACGCGCGCGGCGCCTCGGGAGGGCTCGCGCCGCGCCGCGCCGGCGGGAGGCGCCTGCACGCGCCCTGCGCGCCCC